GCTTTCCTTATCTCTTTTTTAGTATTTCTAACCAGTTGTACGAATTCCTGTTTTAAACTGACTTTTCCATTCTTAATCCTTTTGTACCACGCTCTCTTTTTACCTATAAGGTTCTTCAGATCCTTTGTTATCCACTTTGGATCATTAGTATTCGATCTATTCAATTTATATGGTATACTACATTCCTGGGCTTTGCTTAGAATATTTTTAAATAGGTTATATTTTGAATCCACATCGAAAACCCCTTTTACGTCACCTATCGCTAGGTTCACATCTAGCTCCAAGACCGGCCCACACCCTATACCCAAGACTTTCCAATCTATTTGACCCCAAAAAAATTCTTAGGCTATTGAAATCAGCTTTTTGAAAATCAGGCACTTTAACAGAATTTTCTCCTACAGATCTATTCCATTCAATGCTAAATCTGATTTCTTTATGATCACTGTTCCCTAGCTCACTCCCTATTTCGATGTCCTTAATTTGTGTTTCCCTGTTAGTTAACACTAAATCTAAAATATTATTTCCCCGCATTGGTTCCTTAATGTGTTGCGTAAGAAAGCAATCGTCAATTAGTTCTAGAAAATCTTCTGCTTCATTATTCCCTGTTTTGTTCAACCGGTTTATTCCACTAAAAAAGTCACCCATGACATAAATACTGTTAGATCTAGATGCTCTAGATATTTCATCCCATAGATGCTTTGCTTCCATTCTGTCTGAATTTGGTGGCCTATATATAACCCCTATTATAATATTATTTGCTTTTTCGTTTAATTCTATCCAAATAGTTTCTGTGTGGCAGTGTTTTGATTCCCTCTTTGAGACTACATTTCAAATTGTCCCTAACATATATAGCTACTCCCCCTCCTCGTCTAATATGTCTATATGTGTGAAATAGTTTAAATCCATTTATTTGATATTCAGCTAATAGTTCTCTATTTTCTATGTACGTATTATGTTCTGTGTTCTCTGTGCTCCCTCTATTTCAGCAATCTCTCCTGCTCTGAAGGGAGAAGTGAGTACTGAGCAGTACCCAAGACAGGACAGCACAAGAGATTTATAATAATAATAATAATAATAATAATAATAATAATAATAATAATAATAATAATAAAATATTTTATTTAGTTAAAGTACATAGATGCTGATTTACAAACATTCTAATTGATTTATAGATAGAGCTAGTACATACAATACCTAAAGCCACTAGTACGCGTAGTGTTTTGGGAAAGGTGAGGTGGGGGAAAAAACATTTAGACTAAAACTTAATAGTAATTGAGCTTAAAGTATTTGAAGAGTACAACCATTGTGATGGGATCCCTGGATTATCCATCCAATCTTTTTTCTGGCTGATGCAATATTTACTTGGTTTTGCTTCCTAAACGTTAGGTCATCAGACATCATTATTCCCAAATCCTTTACATGCTGCTTTCCTACTATGGGCAAATCTGATTGTGTTTTGTACCCTGTATTATGTTTAAGGTCCTCATTTTTTCCGTACTGTACCTGAGTATCTGGAATTGATTACTGTTAAACATCATGTTATTTTCTGCTGCCCAGTCAAAAATCCTGCCTTACAAATCTGCTCATATTTTTGGAAATGGTAACCGGCTGTTCAGGTGTTGTATGCATGAACTTTGCTAAAGCTCTTGATGAGGTACCACATGAAAGACTAGCAAGGAAATTACAGGCACATGGAATAAATGGTAGAATACTGTACTAGAATGGATAAAACAATGGTTAAAATAAAACAAAGGGTCGTGGTAAATGGGAATGAATCTGGAGAAATGTGGTAAAGTAAGTGGGGTACCACAAGGGTCCATCTTGGGGCCAAACCTTTTTGTCATATACATCAATAACAAATGAGAACATTACAAACATCATCATCAAATCTGCAGATTGGCACTATTTATGGTAAAGTGGGAAGTAAAAATTATATTGAGGCCTTACAAAGAGAAATATACAAATGGCTGGGAGACTGGCAAGTGCTTTTAATATTGAAACAGTCACCATGGTGCAGTGGTAAAACACTCACCTTTGGCCAGGGTTGGTATCCTGGCCGGGGAGGATTGTCCGGGCGCCAATCCTTAACTGTAGTGTCTGTTCATCCAGCACTGAATTGCTACCTACTTGGTAAATGATTTGGCGGGTCGTATTCCAGGTAAAATTAGTATTAAGAACCTGCCCGGAACAGTATGTGTGTTAGTGGCTTTACAAGAATGTAAGTGTATAATCGAAAATGCAAGACCTTGCATGTGGGGGATAACACTCCACATCACAACTGCAAAATTAATAAAATTACCTTGCTGCAGACTGATGAAGAAAAGGACCTAGTAATAGTGAAGCGAAACTGTAACTTCAAGGAAAAGAAGGTAGCTATTCAACTGCATAAATCTCTGGTGCATCCCCACTTGGATTATTGTATCCAAACACGGAGATCTCATCTTCAGACAGACATAGCTGCTTTAGAGATGATTTTTCACCCATAGAGTTATAAACCCATGGAACTGCCTACCCGCCGAAGTCGTAAATGTGAAGACATTCTTCTGTTTAAAATTCAGCTTCCAACTTCCTGTCCTTGTTGAAGCCACTAGAGATGGTGGCCCTCAAGGCTTCTTTTCTCCATTGAAGCCACTAGAGATGGTGGCCCTCGGGGCTTCTCTCTGTTGAAGCCACTATAGATGGTGGCCCTCAGGGCTTCTTTTCTCCATTGAAACCATTAGAGATGGTGGCCCTCGGGCTTCTCTCTGTTGAAGCCACTAGAGATGGTGGCCCTCAGGGCTTCTCTCCGTTGAAGCCACTAGAGATGGTCGCCCTCAGGGCTTCTCTCCATTGAACTCACTAGAGATGGTGGCCCTCAGGGCTTCTTCTCTCCGTTGAACTCACTAGAGATGGTGGCCCTCGGGGCTTCTCTCAAATGTTCAAATGTTTTTTTCAGGTAAAGTACATACATACAAGGGGTGATACAAATATTGCTGAATTTATAGATACAGCTTGTACATACAATGCCTAAAGCCACTATTACTCAAAGCATTGAAGCCACTAGACATGGTGGCCCCTCGGGCCTCTCTCCGTTGAAGCCACTAGAGATGGTGGTCCTCAAGGTATCTCGGTTGAAGTCACTAAAGATGGTGGCCCTCAGGGCTTCTCTCCGTTGAAGCCACTAGAGATGGTGGCCCTCAGGGCTTCTCTCCGTTGAAGCCACTAGAGATGGTGGCCCTCAGGGCTTCTCTCCGTTGAAGCCACTAGAGATGGTGGCCCTCAGGGCTTCTCTCCGTTGAAGCCACTAGAGATGGTGGCCCTCAGGGCTTCTCTCCGTTGAAGCCACTAGAGATGGTGGCCCTCAGGGCTTCTCTCCGTTGAAGCCACTAGAGATGGTGGCCCTTGGGGCTTCTCTCTGTTGAAGCCACTAGAGATGGTGACCCTCAGGGCTTCTCTCCGTTGAAGCCACTAGAGATGGTGGCCCTCAGGGCTTTTTCTCTCTTTCAAATACAAAAATTCAAAATCAAATGTTTATTCAGGTAAAGTACATACATACAAGAGGTGATACAAAAACTGATAGATTTATAGATAGAGCTAGTACATACAATGCCTAAAGCCACTATTACACAGAGCGTTTCGGGCAGGAAAAATATTAAAGACTAAAACTTAATACTAATTGAGATGAAAGTATAAAAAGTGTTGAGAAAAAATATAAAAAAGGGGGGAACATGGCAGAAAAACAGCCAAAATACAATTAGGTCGACAAACAGCATTGTTTAAAAATAACAAGACATGGGTTGACAATATCTTTTGAAGCCACTGAAGATGGTGGCCCTCAATGCTTCTTCCCTCTGTTGAAGGCACTAGAGATGGTGGCCCTCAGAGCTTCTCTCCATTGAAGCCACTAGAAATGGTGGCCCTCGGGGCTTCTTCTCTGTTAAAGCCAGTAAAGATGGCGGCCCTCAGGGCTTCTTCTCTCCGTGGAGGCCACTGAAGATGGTGGCCCTCAGGGCTTCTTCTCTCTGTAGAAACCACTTGAGATGGTGCCCCTCAGGGCTTCTTCTCTCCGTAGAAGCCACTAGAGATGGTGGCCCTCAGAGCTTCTTCTCTGGTAAAGCCAGTAAAGATGGCGGCCCTCAGGGCTTCTTCTCTCCGTGGAGGCCACTGAAGATGGTGGCCCTCAGGGCTTCTTCTCTCCGTGGAGGCCACTGAAGATGGCGGCCCTCAGGGCTTCTTCTCCCCGCTGAAGCCACTGAAGATGGCGGCCCTCAGGGCTTCTTCTCTCCGTGGAGGCCACTGAAGATGGTGGCCCTCAGGGCTTCTTCTCTCCGTGGAGGCCACTAGAGATGGTGGCCCTCATGGCTTCTTCTCTCCGTGGAGGCCACTGAAGATGGTGGCCCTCAGGGCTTCTTCTCCCCACTGAAGCCACTGAAGATGGCGGCCCTCAGGGCTTCTTCTCTCCGTGGAGGCCACTGAAGATGGTGGCCCTCAGGGCTTCTTCTCTCCGTGGAGGCCACTGAAGATGGTGGCCCTCAGGGCTTCTTCTCTCCGTGGAGGCCACTAGAGATGGTGGCCCTCAGGGCTTCTTCTCTCCGTGGAGGCCACTGAAGATGGTGGCCCTCAGGGCTTCTTCTCTCCGTGGAGGCCACTGGAGATGGCGGCCCTCAGGGCTTCTTCTCTCCGTGGAGGCCACTAGAGATGGCGGCCCTTAGGGCTTCTTCTCTCCGTGGAGGCCACTAGAGATGGCGGCCCTCAGGGCTTCTTCTCCGTGGAGGCCACTGGAGATGGCGGCCCTCAGGGCTTCTTCTCTCCGTGGAGGCCACTGGAGATGGCGGCCCTCAGGGCTTCTTCTCTCCGTGGAGGCCACTGGAGACGGCTGCCTCTCAGGGCTTCTTCTCTTCGTGGAGGCCACTAGAGACGGCGGCCCCGAGGTACATTCCGGTAAAGTAGAGGGCTGTGCGGGGGCCGGCGAGAATGGGATGGTCCCCCTCGCCGCCGCACCATTTTCTATGACGCGCGACGCCTCAGACGCCAAAACAATATGGCGGTCAGTGTTTGTTGTTTTTATAGCTAGGAAATTTTTATGGCAGTTAGGAGGAGGTGGCGCGTGCCTAGACTGAAGACAGGAGGCTCCTCGGGTGAGTAAGGTGCCCCCATGGGCGCCATGGGGGAGTAATGAGGCGTGGGAGGGGAGTGTCCCGGGCGCAGAGTGCTATAATGGGTGGGAGTCAGGCGGAGCGGGAAACTATAACTGTGCCAGTCAAGTGGTCCGGAGACGGTCCCTCTCGCTGGCACCCCGTGGCACCCCCTGGCACCCCCGGGGAGCTCTGTGGCACCCCTTGGCGCCCTGTGGCTCCCCGTGGTGCTCCCCGGTGTCCCCCTGGCACATTGACACGTGCCAGGACAGTGACCTGGTGATGGTCCAGGTGGTCCATGGTGTCTGTCCCTCACCCCTGGTGTCCCTCACCCCTGCTGTCCCTCACCCCTGCTGTCCCTCACCCCTGGTGTTACTCACCCCTGGTGTCCCTCACCCCTGGTGTCTCTCACTCTTGCTGTCCCTCACCCCTGGTGTCCCTCACCCCTGGTGTCCCTCACCCCTGCTGTCCCTCACCTCTGCTGTCCCTCACCCCTGCTGTCCCTCACCCCTGCTGTCCCTCACCTCTGCTGTCCCTCACCCCTGGTGTCTCTCACCCCTGGTGTCTCTCACCCCTGGTGTCTCTCACCCCTGCTGTCCCTCACCCCTGGTGTCCCTCACCCCTGGTGTCTCTCACCCCTGGTGTCTCTCACCCTTGGTGTCTCTCACCCCTGGTGTCTCTCACCCCTGGTGTCTCTCACCCCTGGTGTCTCTCACCCCTGGTGTCTCTCACCCCTGGTGTCTCTCACCCCTGGTGTCTCTCACCCCTGGTGTCTCTCACCCCTGCTGTCCCTCACCCCTGGTGTCTCTCACCCCTGCTGTCCCTCACCCCTGCTGTCCCTCACCCTTGCTGTCCCTCACCCCTGCTGTCCCTCACCCCTGCTGTCCCTCACCCCTGCTGTCCCTCACCCCTGCTGTCCCTCACCCCTGGTGTCTCTCACCCCTGGTGTCTCTCACCCTTGGTGTCTCTCACCCCTGGTGTCTCTCACCCCTGGTGTCTCTCACCCTTGGTGTCTCTCACCCCTGGTGTCTCTCACCCCTGGTGTCTCTCACCCCTGGTGTCTCTCACCCTTGGTGTCTCTCACCCTTGGTGTCTCTCACCCTTGGTGTCTCTCACCCCTGGTGTCTCTCACCCCTGGTGTCTCTCACCCCTGGTGTCTCTCACCCCTGGTGTCTCTCACCCTTGGTGTGTCTCACCCCTGGTGTCTCTCACCCCTGGTGTCTCTCACCCCTGGTGTGTCTCACCCCTGCTGTCCCTCACCCCTGGTGTCTCTCACCCCTGGTGTGTCTCACCCCCGGTGTCTCTCACCCCTGCTGTCCCTCACCCCTGGTGTCTCTCACCCCTGGTGTCTCTCACCCCTGCTGTCCCTCACCCCTGGTGTCTCTCACCCCTGGTGTCTCTCACCCTTGGTGTCTCTCACCCCTGGTGTCTCTCACCCCTGGTGTCTCTCACCCTTGGTGTCTCTCACCCCTGCTGTCCCTCACCCCTGGTGTCTCTCACCCCTGGTGTCTCTCACCCTTGGTGTCTCTCACCCCTGGTGTCTCTCACCCCCGGTGTCTCTCACCCCTGGTGTCTCTCACCCCTGGTGTCTCTCACCCTTGGTGTCTCTCACCCCTGGTGTCTCTCACCCTTGGTGTCTCTCACCCCTGGTGTCTCTCACCCTTAGTGTCTCTCACCCCTGCTGTCCCTCACCCCTGGTGTCCCTCACCCCTGGTGTCTCTCACCCCTGGTGTGTCTCACCCCTGGTGTCCCTCACCCCTGCTGTCCCTCACCCTTGCTGTCCCTCACCCCTGCTGTCCCTCACCCCTGCTGTCCCTCACCCCTGCTGTCCCTCAACCCTGCAGTCCCTCACCCCTGCTGTCCCTCACCCCTGGTGTCTCTCACCCCTGGTGTCCCTCACCCCTGGTGTCCCTCACCCCTGGTATCCCTCACCCCTGCTGTCCCTCACCCCTGATGTCCCTCACCCCTGCTGTCCCTCACCCTTGCTCTCCCTCACCCCTGGTGTCCCTCACCCCTGCTGTCCCTCACCCCTGGTGTCCCTCACCCCTGCTGTCCCTCACCCCTGCTGTCTCTCACCCCTGGTGTCCCTCACCCCTGGTGTCCCTCACCCCTGCTGTCCCTCACCCCTGGTGTCCCTCACTCCTGCTGTCCCTCACCCCTGGTGTCTCTCACCCCTGGTGTCCCTCACCCCTGCTGTCCCTCACCCCTGCTGTCCCTCACCCCTGGTGTCCCTCACCCCTGCTGTCCTTCACCCTTGCTGTCCATCACCCCTGGTGTCCCTCACCCCTGGTGTCCCTCACCCCTGGTGTCACTCACCCCTGGTGTCCCTCACCCCTGCTGTCCCTCACCCCTGCTGTCCCTCACCCCTGGTGTCCCTCACCCCTGCTGTCCCTCACCCCTGGTGTCCCTCACCCCTGGTGTCCCTCACCCCTGGTGTCCCTCACCCCTGCTGTCCCTCACCCCTGATGTCCCTCACCCCTGCTGTCCCTCACCCCTGCTGTCTCTCACCCCTGGTGTCCCTCACCCCTGGTGTCCCTCACCCCTGCTGTCCCTCACCCCTGGTGTCCCTCACTCCTGCTGTCCCTCACCCCTGGTGTCTCTCACCCCTGGTGTCCCTCACCCCTGCTGTCCCTCACCCCTGCTGTCCCTCACCCCTGGTGTCCCTCACCCCTGCTGTCCTTCACCCTTGCTGTCCATCACCCCTGGTGTCCCTCACCCCTGGTGTCCCTCACCCCTGGTGTCTCTCACCCCTGGTATCCCTCACCCCTGCTGTCCCTCACCCCTGCTGTCCCTCACCCCTGGTGTCCCTCACCCCTGCTGTCCCTCACCCCTGGTGTCCCTCACCCCTGGTGTCCCTCACCCCTGGTGTCCCTCACCCCTGGTGTCCCTCACCCCTGCTGTCCCTCACCCCTGCTGTCCCTCACCCCTGGTGTCCCTCACCCCTGGTGTCCCTCACCCCTGCTGTCCCTCACCCCTGCTGTCCCTCACCCCTGCTGTCCCTCACCCCTGGTGTCCCTCACCCCTGGTGTCCCTCACCCCTGGTGTCCCTCACCCCTGGTGTCCCTCACCCCTGGTGTCCCTCACCCCTGGTGTCCCTCACCCCTGGTGTCCCTCACCCCTGGTGTCCCTCACCCCTGCTGTCCCTCACCCCTGGTGTCCCTCACCCCTGCTGTCCCTCACCCCTGCTGTCCCTCACCCCTGCTGTCCCTCACCCCTGGTGTCCCTCACCCCTGGTGTCCCTCACCCCTGGTGTCTCTCACCCCTGGTGTCCCTCACCCCTGGTGTCCCTCACCCCTGGTGTCCCTCACCCCTGCTGTCCCTCACCCCTGCTGTCCCTCACCCCTGCTGTCCCTTCATTCCTTCACTTCACAACACCTGTCTCCTTCACTACACAACACCTGTCTCCTTCACTACACAACACCTGTCTCCTTCACTACACAACACCTGTCTCCTTCACTACACAACACCTGTCTCCTTCACTACACAACACCTGTCTCCTTCACTGCACAACACCTGTCTCCTTAACTACACAACACCTGTCTCCTTCACTGCACAACACCTGTCTCCTTCACTACACAACACCTGTCTCCTTCACTACACAACACCTGTCTCCTTCACTACACAACACCTGTCTCCTTCACTGCACAACACCTGTCTCCTTAACTACACAACACCTGTCTCCTTCACTACACAACACCTGTCTCCTTCACTACACAACACCTGTCTCCTTCACTACACAACACCTGTCTCCTTCACTACACAACACCTGTCTCCTTCACTACACAACACCTGTCTCCTTCACTACACAACACCTGTCTCCTTCACTACACAACACCTGTCTCCTTCACTTCACAACACCTGTCTCCTTAACTACACAACACCTGTCTCCTTCACTACACAACACCTGTCTCCTTCACTACACAACACCTGTCTCCTTCACTACACAACACCTGTCTCCTTCACTACACAACACCTGTCTCCTTCACTACACAACACCTGTCTCCTTTACTACACCACCTGTCTCCTTCACTGCACAACACCTGTCTCCTTCACTGCACAACACCTGTCTCCTTCAATGCACAACACCTGTCTCCTTCAGTACACTACACCTGTCTCCTTCAGTACACAACACCTGTCTCCTTCAGTACACTACACCTGTCTCCTTCAGTACACTACACCTGTCTTCTTCAGTACACTACACCTGTCTCCTTCAGTACACTACACCTGTCTTCTTCAGTACACTACACCTGTCTCCTTCACTCCTACATAACACCTGCCCTCTCACTACATAACACTTGCCCCCTCACTACAGTACACCTGCCAGTATAAATGACAGATTGGATAACAAAAACATTTCAAACTAGAGATGCTGTACCAATATTGATACAATTCGAGTCGCTAGTGCTCTGTAGAGTGGAATACTGTTGCACAAACACATGGACGAAGGAAGAACTGGATGACAAATGAGAGAAAGATAAATCTATCATAAATAGATAAATAAAGATAAAATAGAGACAAAGATAAATCCTGATTGCTTGTACTGGGGGACTTGAAATTTAAGGCAATAGACTGGGAGGCCTACGAGACAAGAACAGAGGATATTTGGACAGGCAGATTTGTAAACCTCATTTTGGAGACATTCATGTATCAACATGTGATGCAGACCACAAGAATGAGGGAAGGGGATGTTCCTTCATTACTGGATCTAATATTCACCAGGAAAGAAGAAGAGATAAAGTATTTAACATCCAGTACAGTACCTTCCTCTCTTGGGAAAGAGTGATCATGTCATGTTGGACATTAAATATGCTTTGCGATATAATCTAGTAGAGAATGAGGATATTGAAACGGTTGTTAAACTCGGTTTCAAGAGAGGACGCTATGGGGAACTTACAAAATTTTTCCTGGGAATAATTGGACAGACTTGCTGCTAGGTAAGGAAGTAAATGAGATGTATGCCAAATTTTGTGAAATATACTATGAAGGCACACAAACATTTGCAC